TCTAAAGCACATTTGCGTTTTCATGCTTTATTCCCAGACTGGCAATTTTGACCAAAATATATCCAATATTAATAAAATAAATGTCTAATATAAGCCAATATCCATTATGACAATGATATGCATGCATCCCTAGAAATGACAACAACAACAAAACAAACGTAACTGTCATTTACTATAAGCACTAGGTGTAAAATGGATCAACGTACTGTAATACACCAATCTGACAATGAAAATGAACAAAAAAATGCACCGACTACAATGACTATAATAACATGTATTTTCTTCCCAGTTTTAAACACACTGAATACATATTTCCGGCGTAGACACATCAAAATGATGTCCCCTAAACATAATTTTGGTGTGTTCAAGCATACCTTGAACCGTACCAAACGAATCTATTCAAAACTAACTGTGTCCAAATTTCACAATTCACGAAACATTTAGGGGGAAAAAAGCACATATTTACACCCCTAATGAAAACTAATAATAGACGAGGAGCAAAGCCAAGCCTCTCTACAAGCCTTCAGTCCCACAAGTGCGTCATTCTTACCCTCCAAACACACAAAATCAATCTAAATCAATCCAGACAAAAAGGACACAAACAAGCTTTAATAATTCATGAAATGGGATCCATGTTCATTTTAACCACATCTTTATGGGGATCATTATTTGTCACACATCTGTTCAAAGTCATAGATCCATTAAACAGTGGCTTTGCTGTTTTCATTGCTCTTTATGTCAATTTAGCTGTTTATTTGTCCAGAAAAGAGTAGTTTAATGCCACTATATTATAAATACTCTCTCATAGAGCAGACGTGTCGATATCTCTAAAGTCTCGTAGGGCTTCATACATGAGGATAATGTCAATCAATGACCTTTTTAAGTTTATTCATCCTGTTTTTCTATCAAGGTCATCTTTTGTGACTAGCTGTTGTCCTGCCACGCCATACTCCCATGAAGACAAGAGTGCTTATTAAACCTCAGTCAATGTGGATACGGTGTCATTTTCATTTCTGCAATATAATAATGTGGCTACTCAGCTTCTCCCTCCCTCTGTCAAACACCTTTAAAAGCTGATTTATTCCCCCCCCACCCCCCCTCAAGGAGAGGCTCATCAATCTTTCTCTAACTTGACAGCATTCAAGTTCAACTGTCCCCCTTATGGGACTGAATGGACAGAGTCCTATTGATGACTCAATCATCATCACTGGCCCATGTGAATGGAGACACTTGCCCCGCAACGAAAGACTGTGGAATTCAGCGGCTGATCTGTGATCCCTTGAGATCCTACAGGAGCAAGTTCAATGACAGTCCTTGACGTCAAGAGAAAACACTCCTAGTGGCACTATTGTCAGGCTGTTCTCTTCTATGCTGTAATAGACTACAGCTGGGAGGGATTCCTCAGGATGCCAGCCAGCCTTGAACCCCTTACAAAACCTGTCAATCATACCACTTCTACATTTCCTGGACTGCAAAACAGCATACAGTATGTGTGGAAAGTGTTCAGGAGCATAAACCGCAAATGCAATTTAGTCAAATTGCCCAGGTGTTTTGAAGTAAAAAATTGAATTTAAGAGCAATTCCCAAAGGATTCCATGCATGTGCGCAGGGTGTAGGAAATAATATGTGGAGATAAACAATAAACTACTGAAGTGTCCCTCATGCTGATGAAATCTGTGGTCTGCCGCTAAATTACAGTCCTTCATCTAGGACATATAATGGTGTGTTAACCTGAATCCCACAGAAGGACATCTCATGCTGTAAATCATCTCGTTCTTTGATCTAGAGTTGTGTACTACATCTGGGGGAGAGACACACAAAAAGGGGAGAAAAAGAGTACATCACATTTATGTTGCTCCAACAGTTTGTAAACACTACAGTGATACAATGAGCAGACAAGCGTGTTTATTCTGAATCGGAGCAGTGCTGGCAGTTCTGATAATATGGTTAAAAATTGATGTGCAGAGGTTGGTGAAAGGTTAAGCACAGTGTCTAGTTTCTGTGACACTGGCTTCTTGCAGAAGTACGAAAATAAAGCATATTTTTAAAAACCTTGCAAACACCCCTTTCATGCGTTGTGCAACTCGAAGATCACAAACACAGCTCTTGTCAAGGCATGTTTAAAATATGCCACTTTCAATAAAAGGCCCAACATATTAGGAATACTGTTATCTGTGTTGCTATGTATAATGAGTCCATTACTGATTAGGCCAACACTCCATTTAGAGCAAACGTGAGTGTCCGTCTTACAGACCCCTTTTCAGTTGTTAAACATGGTGACTTTTTTTGTGGGCGGAGCTTAGATGGAGGCAGAACGATCCCTCTGGCCGCTTCACTAACGCTAGTTAGCAAGTATCGTTAGCTTGTTTTTTTTACCAATGACTGGAGAAAATCTGATTTTATCTTAATGTGTAAGGTCACTCACTCTCCAGGACCGCGATTGTTATTTTCAAAAATTATTTTTAACGGACGGAACCAAGATTGGCCGACCTGTAGCCACCTACACACTCACTCAATGCATGGACGATCTGACAGGATTAACGTAATGTTACCTCGGTTGAGTGGCCTGACTTCTACACCTACCTAGAGAAACCGATCGTAAAGAGAAACTGAGGGCATATAAATCTTTAGATGCCTATATGGTCCTGTACAAGACTTGTGTGTACAATCCGCAGTTCTTTTACATTATCTGACGATAATGTAAAGAGTGACATTACGGTGCGATTTTAATGATGTGAATATTTTCTAGAAATAAAAATTCCAGATACAGCATATTCATTTTTCATCAATTCTTGCACCAAACAACACAACAAGATGACATTTAATACTAGTAACAATAATTTAAGCTCCTTTTTATGTAGCCGAATCTGCGCTGGTTTGTATTGGCCGCCTCCAGTTTTCACTTTGTTTTGCCTCCAGCTAGCGCCGTGATGTAACTGACGTCGGCGCAAAAAGGGGTCTATAATAAACCCATCCAACTTATCTACATGTAACACATTTTTTTTAACATGAGACTGTCTACACTGAACACAAAGAAAACGTTATTAACTGGTACATTTGTTTTTCTGAACGGATGCATGATGATTCTATATGCTTTTGAAGCTTCCAGTGAGTTTTGGCTTGCACTTCTGTAACGGAAGCTGGATTTCTTTTTCCATAACACCCTCTGGCTCCACCTACTACAGTAGACACACCCCAAACTCTCATTATTGGTTGAGCTGGAAAGAGATTGACTGATCCGAGTGAACCACTCTCAGTGTTTTGGTGGCGCCTGGGAGGCTCAATGTTTACACATTTGGGGGAGATAAACCCATGAACGGCAGTAGTCAATGAACAATAAACTGGAATAAGAGAATGTATTTTGACATAAAAACATCTTACATACTTCACCTTTAAAGAGATAGTTCAAGTAACTAAAAAAAACATCACCCCAAACCAAGACTTTTTCTTTTCTGGAAGTAACATGAGATGCGCAGTAAAATTGTTCATGCTGCTCTTTTCCAGTTAATGGAGACTAGAGATGTGGCAGTAAGGAAATGTCCCCACTGGTTGATCGACATGTGACAACACTGGTAATACTGATATCACCGGGAGAGGGGGGCAAGACTTTGGATTTTTCCCCTCTTTCCACCTCGCTTTGTTTTTGAATTACCAGCAATTTGGGGGTGGCAACTCCTTTCATTATTATTCTTAAGGAAAAACAAAAACAAAAGAGTACAATGACAAACTCTATAATACAGAAAATAATTAAGAATGGCATAAGTGAGTAAATGACGATAGAATGATTATTTTTGGGTGAGCTATCCCTTTAATGTGGCTGCCATTGCATGAATAGCTGAAAGCAATTGTCCGTGTGTGTATGCATTTGTCTTACTTGTGTGATTTTGTGTCAGGGTATGGATTGAACAACATCCCACCCATTTTGCAATCTGTAAACTTGTACACTCTCCGTTAATGCTCCCTCCGGAGCCAGCCGATCCCACAGAACAAGAGGCATGAAAAATTCAGCCAGCGCGCCCAATCCTTGCTACAATTATGCATGAGCAGAACGGCTGGCTGAACAGAGCAAAACCCAATGCATATACTTTACATCCCATTCCCATTTCACTGACTTCCAAGCTGGATCAGTGTGCATGCTCAGCTCAGACATTCACACTGTCTATAGAGCACTACATGACAGGCAATCAGAAGCCCTCAAGCTCCCTCCTGATAGTGCTCGCTGTGATAATTCCTTAGCATCACACAACTCTACTGCAAAATTCAGACAGAGCAGAGGGAAAAGATGAAAAAAAAAATACCCTTGGTAAATGAAACATACGTGTGCATGTCACATAATGTAAACAGTATATTATGAATGGAAGAAACATCACAAATGACTTTATGCCTTCGAGAATAAAATTGAACATAAAAATAGTTTGTGGATTCAAAAATCATGTATTCATGACTGGGGGTTATTAAATATAATGACTTATTTTTTGCATCCTGCATTCATTTTTATACATTCATCAGCAAGTATTTAATAGCACTGGGGAGCACAGTGGCTCAGTGGGATGCACTGTCGCCTTACTTGGAAGGCGGTCCCTGAAACGAGTCCTTGCAGAGTTTCCTCCAGGTGCTCCCCACAATCCAAAAAACATGCAGTATAGGTGAACCGGAGGTGCTAAAAATTGTCAGTGGATGTGAATGTGTGTGTTTGTGAGTCCCAAGTAATGGGGAGGGTTTGGGAAAGACCTAGTAGCGACTTAACCCGAAAAATAATCATTGCAAAGAAAATTCATGGATGGTCTCCTTTCAATAATTCACACATATTGTTTTTCAATAATTCAATCACTTTTCAAGTATACCTTTTCATAAATATGGCTGTTTTCATGGGTTTTCCAGGACTTGCATTTCTTCACGCACATTGTACAAACCCTTTTATTAGTTATCTTAAACTCGTACATGCACACATACACAAAAACAGCACGTGCCTATTAGTATAACTATAGGTCATTTCTTACCACCAAAGAAAGGGGCCTTTTCCATGACACCACTCCAATCAGTCCAGACAAAAGCACCTGAAACAAAAAGAAAACAGATTTTGAGACTAAAGAACAAAGCTCTGCATCTGCCATCTCAGCATTACAGGAGACTCTCTCACAGGTGAATTTATCAATATTTCATGTGCAGGGATTGATACAGTCATCAGGTTTGTAGGGGGAATTCTGTGGATATGGTAAAGAGGTTAAAAAAATGTGCGAAATCACTTTTATAGCCGGCACAGCACTTGTTCTTTTTGTTCTGTTCTCTATCTTTTTCTCCTTCACCCTTCATTAACCAAGAGCACACCACTCGGAGGCAGTCTCTCTTTCGCATGCTCCTTCACCCTTTAAACCATCATGTCCAGCAGGCTTCTCTCCCTCATTCACACTTTTTACCCAAGGGACGTCATGCTGTGCTACAATCACAGTGGCATCTCGGATAAACCAACAGGAGCAGAGTGTTAAAAGCATATGCAATGGGAATGAAACGTCAGCACTGAAGCTGATGCTGTCAGCAGGTTTAGAATGTAAATTCAGGTAATGAATAATGCTACAGATTAAATTAAATATAGTGCTTCATATGTAAAAGGAGGTGAATGGTGACTAGTGTGCATGCTGAGAATGTGTTTGCTGGCAGATCAGCAAGATAGTCTGAGGAATGATCGATCTGAAGATTGTAGGATTATGCCATTGTGTGCAACCACACACAGCTGTGGGATTAACAACCACAAACAAGAAAACAAAAACAATGAGAAAAATCAATGAGATTTGACAAGAAATCATGATTTGGTCTTTTCTGTTCTCCCCACCCCAGAATAAAAACAATCCCTGAAAATAAAACATTTTATTAGTGCAGCAACAATAGCAAACCAAAAACCTTACTTAAGTTACATACATACAGTAAGACACAATGTGTTCCCAGAAATTATGCTTGGGCCATTGATAAGACATTTCTTTAACCCATAAGAACGTTTCAATAACAAGTATGACATGAGATCACGTTTAATCAGAGAGAAAGGGAGTATGAGACATGCTTCAAAGAGATGATGTGAGAGAAGATTCACATTGTTTTTGCTCTCTTGAATTATTGATTCTCTTTCAGTTGTAATTGAGAAGGAGAAAGAGATGGAGAAAAACGAAACCATGAGCGATGAAAAAAAATGCTGAGACGGAGTCAGTTAAAGATAAGATTGAAAGAGAGGAAAGGCCCAGCTGGAGTGTGTGTGTGGAAAGAGCAGCTGCACAAAAGAGCTCACTGAAAGGAATATTCGGGAATCATGCAAAAATCTATTCCTTTGGAAAATCATATCCTCCTTAGACCTCTAAATGATTCAAAAAAAAGTTTGGAGGTTATTCTTGTCACTGTCTGTCTTGTCTCCGCCTCTTCCCTACACTTCCCAGTAGAGCCCGACCGATAAAGGATTTTGAAGGCCGATACCGATACAAATATTTTTGGGTTTTAAAATCCGATATTCCGATATATCGGCCGATATTTTATTTATTTATTTGAAACTGGACATGATGGTCACAAATTTTGTCATGCTTATTTGAGTCAAGAGAACTGATGGGGATGTTCTTTTAATTGATATTCAAGCAATGTATGTCTCGTGACCAACTCAACGAGTTTTGCCAACAGGAACGGTGTAGAGTGCCCTCTGGTGGACAAACTAAACAACTCCAACACTCATGACATGGTTCAAGCGTGTTTCATCCGTTTTTATTTTATTTTTGAAATATTCATTTATCGGCCATTATAACCGCCGATACCGATAGTTTGGAAAATGCCTAATATCGGCCGATAATATCGGTCTGCCGATATATCGGTCTGGCTCTACTTCCCAGCATCCCTCTTGTCTACACACCTGCTAGTCGTCATCGTCACCTGTGTTTAGTCATTTGCTGTGTCCGAAATTTCCACTCAAACCACTACTCCCTACCCCCTACATAGTAGAGCACTATATAGTGAGCTCACCAGCATTATAGAAACACCACTTTCGGTCACTACTCGATCGTCTCTCGGCGCCGTTGATTACATCATCTGTCAGCTGGTGTCGAGCCGGCTCTGGGCTAAATAGATTTTTTAAAATAAATACATTACATTATATTGAGCATATTTCTCCAAAATTTCAAAACTAAAAGTGATTTCTGAACGTTTCTGTTATAATGCGCTACTCCAGTCCACACATAATTATAACTTATTTTTACGATCAGCGATTATCGGTTGTACACTACTTTTCAAAATGCATTCTGGGATACATTGAGTGGACTATATAGGGTATAATAATCATTACTATACATTCGGACAGCACTACAAAATGGCGAGCTCACTATATAGTCCACTATATAGTGAGTAGTGGGAGATTTCAGACACAGCAACTGTCATCATCTGTGCTACCCCTTTCTGTTAATTAGTATGTCTATTAAGTTCCTGTCTTCAGTTCAGTGTCCGTTCTTATGTGTATCACACGAGTGTGAACCTTCTGACTGTCTGAAACCTGTGGGCTGTTTATTGTAAACGTTGTCATTTTGGATTTCTCGTCTTCCTTTGCCTACACAACCGTGACAATTCTATTCAGTGCCTCATTAAAAGTACAATATTGCATGCTGATGTAAAGTCGGAGTGAAAAGGAAATTCAACCTGTTTTAATAAAACAATCTTACTGTGAACAATTCATCCATATGCATTTTTGAGCCCATTATTTGTGTCATAACTCAATCTTCCAGTGAAATGACAGAACTCTTTTTAGTGATGTCATAACTCAATCTCTTTTTAGTGATGTCATAACTCAATCTCTTTTTAGTGTCATAACTCAATCTTCCAGTGAAATGACAGACCTCTTTTTTTCATTCTTTTTAGTGAACTTCAACAATCATATCATCTACTTTAACCACACCCATTTCTTACAATTGACTACAAACTCACATTTATATCTGCCAACATCCAATCAACAACCGACTGATAGAACCAAGTCCCCGCAATTTTTCTTCTATTTTCACATTTTTCTACCCATTTCTGATATTAGGAATACCACAAACCCTCCATGTTTACCTTTATCTGACTCACAGATTATGAAAATGTAAACTTATGTACCGAGGGATGAGTCAGAATGTTTGTCGGTGGTAAATGACAGCATGCCAAAGATATGTCAGAAACACAAAAACGCTACCATTTGAACCCTCAACATCATCTTTCTGTTATTCACAACTTTGATATTTTTTTCTTCAGTTTACAGTACAGTACGTCAGTTTATTGTACAAAAAGATAAAGCAATGTGGGTCAACATTTTCTAGCTTTATTTGAGGATATCTGTGTTACATAGCAGTCATTAAACATCTGCAACCATCAATCCCATATTCATTACATCTCCAGCGGTGCATTAGAGAACATATTGTGCCCTGGGTGGGAAACCTCACCAGTGATTCCCTGCCTGTGCAGTTGAGTCTCCGGAGAAATTGTTTTCTGGAAAGAGGCAACGATAGCAAGCAATAATCAAAGAAGGATTTCACCCTCGGCTGCGCTCTCGACAGGATTAAGACACGCCACTCACTGACATTAGCCACTAAAGCCTTTTAGCTCAGTCAGCAGCGCTATGAGAGGAGAGAGAGTCCTTCAGTCAATTACCAGGGTACAGCTGCTCGGCCTAATATATGTACGTGTCTTACACCCCATATCACAAACACCACAAATGAAAACTCGCTTGACTGTGAGGAGAAGATTCAGCTCAAGTCCATTCTGCTGAAACGGGACTATTAACAGGACTATTAGAAACAATCTGAGGGAATGCAAATGGACAAACTGCGCTGGATCAAACAGTGCGGTTTGGGAAATTGCTCTTGGCTGTTAAAATCAAGACTTAACTTGCAGCGGTTCACGTTGTGTGTTGTGAATGTGGTCTGCAGAGTGTAAGGGTGCTGTGGGTGACGGTCTTTAATCACAGTGAATTGTTTGCATAGCAGTGATATACAGCTGCCCCCCTCTCCAAAAACAAGCAAGAGAGAGGCTAAGAGAGCAAGAGATACAGCATTTGAACTGAACACTTTAGCTTTGGAGGGCTGTTGCTTTAAAACAAAAGAAAGAATAAATATAGATGGACATTAATGGTCCATTTCTTATTTTTTCGTATTTTTAAGGTAGAAACTTTGGAATAAATTCAATTCCACTGCCAAACAAGTCAATGTGCTTGTTTTTGATTATATAAAATGAACTGGCTCATTTGAGACATTTGTTTGGGAATCAATTGGACTACACAGGTCGCTCTGAATGGTTTTGATTTAGTCAGTAATTTTGTTCAGAATCCTTGGGCTATAGGTCATGCTTTATGGTTCTGATACACTACAAAGGACTGACTCTGAATCATTACACTGGTTGTGCTGTATGGTTTTGAATTATAACTGTTGCATAAAAGTCATCGTTCAGGAATTGTGCGTTTGATTCAGTAGTAATGTGGCATTCTACAGTGGTGCATTGAAATTTAATATTTACAGAATGCACATGCAAGAAGTATTAGTGTAACAGAACTGTATTCAGTTAAAGAACTCTAATTTTAAAAACTGTGGGGTCAGAAATATTTTGATTTAAAAGAAATGAATACTTTTATTCAACAAGTGACACTAAAGATTTCAATTATTGCTGTTCTATTAAACTTAATATTTATCAAAAAATCCTGGAAAACATTAAACAGTTTCCACAAAAATATTAAGCAGCAACTAATTTTAACAATAATAATAAGAAATATTTATTTATTGAGCAGAAAATCAACATATTAGAATGACATCACAGGATTAAAATATATTCAACTAGATAAATTTAGTCTTGTAAAATATTTAAAAAAATAAATATTGCCAACACCAAACTTTTGACAATAGTGTATTTTCTCACAACAATGGACAAAACCAATAAATAACACAATTGTGCCCTAAAGTTAAATACATAACTGCAAAAACACAGATAAGTTTGTGTTCATTGAGTACGCCATATAATATCATCAAATAAAAGCTGCTGCAATGCTCAACATGCCCTCGACAGAAAGACTGAA